CAGAGCATGAAGGTCGCGGGCACCGGCGCATGAGAGGCCGCCGGCTCCGGGCATTGACGACGCCAAGACTGGGTGAGCAAACGGGTCACCCGGTCGAAGGCCGAGAACTGCAGATGGCCGGCGACCTGGTGCACCATTGAAATGGCGGCCAGGTACTGAGGGAGGCTGCGGACGCCTACCCGGCCCTCCTCCCGTAAGAACCGGATGTAGCGGTAGATCGTGGCCGGGCGGGCGGGGAGGGCCTGGAGGTCCACGGAGGCGCAGAACGCCTGGAACTTGGCGAACTTGGCCTGCATGGATCGCCGCGTCGACTCCGTGTAGAAAGACAAAAACTGAGACTGCATCCAGGCACAGTCTGATTGCAGCAGGCCGTCAACATCCAGCCCGTAGAGGGGATGATCTTGCGGCATAGGCTCCACCGGCAACGGGTCATCCGGAGGAAGGTCGGGCCCCCCGGTGGAGGACCCGGGACCCGCCGCTAGGGAGCCATCCGAGGTTGGATGTGGAACGCCCGAAGGTTCCACTTCGGCGGAGGCAGGTCCGCTGGAAGACTCGGATCCCCGGGGCGAAACATCCCCGGATGGCGGGGAATCAGAAGTTCGTCTGCCGCAAGAGTCCGGAGAGGCAGGAACCAAAGCGTGCTCGGCCAATCCGGCGTGACGGCGACGGCCTCGACTGCGGGCTGTGTGGCAAGGAAGGAAACGAGGCAGGGAAGGAGGCACCACAGCGGGTTGCACCAATTGGAGTCCCCCATCCAGTCATGGAGAAAAGCGTCTGTCCCCACGCTCCCCACGTCCGCGTGCAGGCTGTTGTACCTTGGGCAGAGGGAATTCGCCGCGGAAGCAAAGCGGTCGCACATCCGGCAACCGAAGCGTTGAGTCAGTCGGCGGAAAATGGCCGGGTGTAGCTGGTAGTCGTCCGCCACCCGAACCCGGGACAGCCTGTCCGGTATGACGTTGTCCTCCGACCGAATGTAGTTCGGGTCGAGCAGGAGGTGGCGTGCCATACAGACTCGGTGCAGCTGACGAAGGGGGGTGAGGAGCTGCCTGGAATGGGTAGTCATGCTGCGCAGGCAGTACATGACCACCTGGTTGTCGAACAGCAGCTTGAGCCTTGAAGGAAGGCCATGGGAAGCAGCCGGAAAAAAGTTGAGAATGGCTCTCTCCACCGCCTGCATCTCACGCACATTGATATGCGTTAAGGAACGGTCCCAAAACCCCCTCGCGAGGAGGGGGCGGGACCTCCCCGGGGGAGCAAAGGTGGCCCCCCAACCAGTCAGACTGGCGTCCGTTGCCAGAGTACCGGCAAAGGGGATCGCGTCGGGGTTGAGTGGACGGCCTTTGCAGCAGCGGATGTTGACCCACGCCTCCAAGTCCAGCCGGGCTTGGGGGGAGAGGATCAGGCGATCCCGCCAGCTGCGCTTGGAACGAAGAACCGCGTAGAGGCTTTGCAAGAAAAACCGGGCCAAAGGAAACGCCAAATAAAGGGAAATGGTGAGGCCGCAAAAACGGGCCAAATCCCTGGCCACAACCCAGCGGCCTGATCGCAAAATGCGGGCCTGATTGGCGATCAACGCGACCTTTTCCGGGGGAACCTCAAAACGGCCATGGGCCGTGTCCACAATCACCCCCAAATGCTTTTTGCGCATGACTGGGGTCCATTGATATTTTCGCTCCTTGAATTGGATGCCCAGCGAGGCAAACACACCCCGAACCAACTCGGACCATCGTGTCAAACGTGCGGTATCATGCATAGCCGCCAAAAAATCATCAAGATATGCCAACAGAATGGCTGGCGGTTCACTAGTATACACTCGAAAGTATGTAGCTATTGAGTAATCCCCTGCTAAGCACCCAAAATGGAAATGGCGAGCTGCCTTGGGGCAACTACCCGGGGACCTCAAGAAACGACCCACAACAAGCATAAAGTGGGTGAAAAAGAAAGGGGCCAAAGAAAGACCAAAGGGGAGAGCTCTACAAGCGAAAACTTCGTCGCCCATCCGAAATTGGAGGAAACATTCCTCCGATCGATAGACACGCAGATGATGATAAGCATCTTTGATGTCAAATCCCACCAATGAGTCACCCCGGTGGAGTAACTGACCGGAGTCACGTAATTTCCCGTGCTGAAGGCCCACCTTGCAAAGGTGACGGTTGACCCGTCGCAGATCGATGCAAAGATGGTATTTCATGACTCCATCTTCCCGCCCCTTCTCCACCAGGAAGGCCTAAGAGATGCGCGACGTGGGGCCCGGCTCCACCTTGGTGATCGCCCCCGAAGAGAGATAGTCTGCGCGGAGGGATTGCCAGGCCGCCCGTTCCTCCGGGGAGCGGAGCGGGTAGGAGCCCTCGTCGAAAGGAGCCGGAGGTCCACGCGGTCCCCACATGAGCGGAGTCCCTGAATGGATCCATTGGAGAATGCAGGAGGGGGCGCCGATGCGACGCCACGCCGAAAGGCGTCCGCGGACTCGATTGTACGGGAAGTTCTTCATGGAGCCGGCTTGGGGGATGGGCCTGGGGCGCGAGGTCCCTTGTGGGCCTTGGGCCCGGTCGAGGGGGCCGAGGTCGACGGGGGGGAGGTAGACTTCTTGGCGGCCGCGGTCTTGGTAGCGTGCTTCAATTCTTGCGTCAGAAGCTCCTTGCGCATGCGCTCGATGGTCCCGTTGACGCGAGCGGTGCCGAAGCGCAATCCGCGGTTGGCAAGGCGGATCTCCGCCTGAATAGCCCGCCACAATCCCTCCAGGCCCAAGCCCTTGTGCTTGGCGTGGATGCGTTGCAAGGAGAGCTGGTCGTGGAGCGCCTCGGTGACCTCCACGTACGAGTAAAGGTAGGGGAGGAGGAATTCCCGTACAGACGCCGGTAGATCGGGATGGGCGGCCACCTCCACGAAGGCCGTGGTCGTGTCGAACAGCCAAGAGACCGGAGGCGCCCAGCCCGCGTACTCCTGGAAATACCCGGAGTTTGCGCCCAAGGCGTTGGCAACCGCGCTCCCTTTGGCGGTGTCGCGGACGTCAAACCAGTACGGGGAGCGGGCGCCCACTGGTCGGGCAACCGGGTTGTTGACTGACTAAGGGAGGAGCGCCGGGTCGGGCAACCAGCAGGCTTTGATAGCGGAGGTCGGAATACGGTTGTTGAACCGGCGAGTTTGGTCCCGGCACCACTGCTCCGTAGGGGACGGGTTCATAGGCAAGAACTCGGCAAAGAGCCGGAGGTCGCGACCCACTTTGTGGGTCCGGGTTGTGCCAAAGGTTTGGCGCGAAGCGAAACAAAATAAGGTGGGGACCGAGGGGTGAGCCTAAGTAGCCTCCCCGCTCGCGCCCGCCAAAACCCGCCGCTCCCAAGGGCGCCAAAAACCACTGGCCCTCCTTGAACGCGACGGACCAGCCACTGACCCAAGGTACAGGGGGACAGAAACCCCAAGGGGCCGCCAAAACCATCGTACTTTAAGCAGCGCTGGCCCAATCGGGCCAGCGCGCCCGCCCCTCGTCGCCCTGGGCGGAAACCACTTGACAAGATAGTTAATCCCATGAATACCAACAAAGCACCGAAACCGCACCAAAAGATATCCTCGCCCTCACTATGAAATGCGCACGGCGTTCAAGTTTGGAACCTGCAAACGATCGACAAAGCAGAAATTCCACGAGATCGCATGACGCTTGCGGACATTGGGCGACACATTCTAAGAACGGGGCTCCCAATTTATGTCCCGTTGTGTATTGGACATGATCACGCCTGACCACCGGCCTGTTTGCCTCCCATCTTCATTTTTTTATCTAAAAGCATTGTTAATGTTTCCCTCACACCACCATATGAAGATATTTCCCTTCTGCCTCGTTCGCTCACTCGCTCAGCCTTCGCGGTTGATGCCCCAACATTGTGCTCCTTTCCAGCACTTTCAGAGCCCGGTGGCTTTCAATGTTCTGTTTTTAGGTACAAAAAGCACATAAGAGCGAAATTTAACGTGTGCATTTTTCATTCAATGCAGCTACAATTTTGCCTAGAGCAGTTTGCTTAAATACAGAACTGAAACTCTCTGAAGCGGTAATTGTCGTGACGTTTTTCGCACCAGGCTAGGGCCATAAAGTGATCCCCGCAGCTTGTTTGCGTAACCAGTGCGAACTCGGCTGAGACAATGCTTTTGTTGATGCTCTTACCTCCTCGCAGGTCGCTTGTATTAGTCAATGAGTATGGAACAATTTCTGTTGCATTCGTTACGCTTGTGAACCGCAATATTCAAAATTAGTCACCTTACGGGCGTCGATTTCAGCCACGATCAGTTGTTATGCGCGCCCATCATGCCTGTTTTTCCAATCCAGAAAGTCAAGGCCGCCATGGTCACCATGCCATTTGGTGGTAAAATTTTCCATCCATTGGCCCGCTGTGCCTGAGAAACAACGGCTTTCATTGGCTGCAAACCACGAATAAAAAATAAACTAAAATGAAAGAGAATGAGGTGCGTTATGGACACGTCTCGCTAAGCTTTGAAATCGATCGAATTCGCAACCACCCCAGCGCGCTCTTGTATTCCCGAATTCCGCACATGAATTGGTGCAAGGCGGTGCCTGCATGCTGTACAGCGCGGTTGATAACCTATAATTTGGTTCCATTCTACTAAGTTGTACACAATTCATCCATGCTTTTGTTTGCTTATTTGGTTTGTTTACGAAATCGCTTATTTCTTGGGCTATTTGCATGCAGTCGTTCAACGCTACCAGCACGGAGGTTCATCCCCTGTGGAGAGATGGAGCGCCTTACGACCTGGCGGTGTTGCACCTCCCGAAGCCACTGAGCTCCCGCGACGTGCCGCCCATTCCCGTCCACAAACCCAAGGCATCCGATGACCAACCGGTGGATCCATTCGCCATGCTGACCTCCCTGTCCCTGCCCCCCGATGACGTGGTCTTAGACTTGCCGTCGGCCGTCATCGCCTCACAGCCACAAGGTTTATACAACAGCAGGAGGCTCATTGGGTGCCGGTTGCGCTTTGGTCTGGAGGTGGCCATGTTGCACGTGGTGGACAGGGGCATGTGTAGCGATTTGGTGGGGCCCGACGACGGCAGCACTTTCTGCCTGCAGCTCAAAAGCTCGAACGCCACGGCAGGTGGGTTGCGTGATTGCGAAATGCTGGCGGGGTGCCTTTTGACGGAGGCGCCGTTGTTGTTGAGGCCCTTAACTTGGACAACGGAGGCCTCTCCCACATTTCAATCAGCGTTACAGACTCCAAGGGATGTCGCAGATGAGCACAATCAGCATTTCATCATCCGCGCTTCCACTAATTTTCCGCGTTGATGCAACCGCGTTTTGTCAATCGGCATTCTGTACATTACCTGATCCGATGCACTGTGCGTTACCCTGTTTATTGCTGTATTGCATCTTTAGGCCATGCTGCACAACATGGCACCCTTTTGTGCTAAGCATTGAAGACGGCATGGATTAACCCATGTTGACTTCAACTGTCTTCGTTGCGGAACGGGTCGGCCTGCATGTGTGGTGTAACAACGCACCATGCGCCCGGGCCGATCAGTTCTGGAATACGTTGACGCTGCATTTTCGGGAGGAAATGGGTTCTTATTGTTATCTACTTTCCTTCACGACTAATGTTATTTGACCAAGTCCATACCGCAATCGCATCCTCCAGAAAATCGGAAAGCTTGTACCATTTGAAGACAAATTCTTTTCCGTTCTCGGATTGCCCTGAACTGGTTAGATTGCCACATGGGTCATTTACTAACCTTCGCGCTTTTCTGTGCACACAAAGCAAATCTGATTGATAGATGGATGCACTCCAGCTACATGTCAAGAGCTTGAAGCGGTGCCAAACCGCGCAGTTCTAATTCATTTACCGCGCCGCATTTGTGCCGGTGATTGTTCGTCTGATTTCGCCGCTCACCTCTATTCCCAGGGATCGCCGGGGCGCCGGTCTTTTTCATCGACGATACAGCGCCGGCCAACGCCACCCTGGGAGAAGTCATCGAGGCGGGGCAGCCGGAAATGGACCTCATGGTGGGATTTGTGTCGGGGGTTGGCGTGTGCACTGAACGGTATGGCTGCCCCATCGTTGCTGTGAAAGCAGAGAGCGTTTACAAATGGATCAAGCAAGCCGTGGCGCACAAGAAGAAATGAGTCGCCAGGCTTTCGATCAGTGGACAAGCGGCATCTCTCCTTGAGAACGGGAGGGCAGCTGTCCGTTGGCAGACGCCAGTTTCGTGTCTGTAATTGAAGTCCGCGAGAAGGTCCAGGGAAGCACGTGTTTTCAGGAAGCTTCACATAAACACGCGTGCGTGGCGTGCGCCCCGCATGCATTAAAAAGCAACGAGAGTGGGCATCGCTGCCAGCCCCGTGGCCAGAATGGGCTGAAGGCGAACCAGAGGCTTTGGTATGCGTTGCGAGCAAAGCCTCGCTCGCAACTTAAGTTGTCGTCCATTGAATCCTATGCTACCAATCTGGGAAAGGCAGGGCGGGCGTGAAGACACCAAAGGACGATCCAGTGCGCGTGGCGAGCCCATGAGGAAGGTCTGGCACCCTTTGAGATGACAGGCCGTGGTGGCGGCACAACGCCACACAGAATGCTTGGGGTGCGCTCCTTTTCATCGGTCCTTAGATAGTACCAGATTGGCGCGTTGGGCAGGAGGCGAGTTGTGGCGCCCTATGGGTTCCGCGCCTCAGGTTGTCTGTCGGGCAGAGACGATAGAAATTGTGTGTGCAAAGACATTGTTTCCGGCAAATTTGCATTGGTGAAATTTCATTCTGGGCAGTTGTCTGTCCCAGTGATTTCTGTTCTAATGTGTTGTCGGAACTTTAAGAAATGTTGGTGGCGACCCGGGGGTACTTCATGGCCACCCCGGACATCCGAACTCAGTGTTGGACTTTCGTTGGGTATTTTCGCCGGTGGCTGCCAACCACGCAGCAGCTCGAGGCCTACTGTGAATGTTGGACTCGTTTTCGAGAGGGCTAAGCTTCAACCGGATTTCCACATGCTGAACTTGGCGAGAGCATTCAGATGGGGATGCAAACGAGGACAGGTAAATGTACCGCTGTGCGGCAAGGCAGTCCTTCTGGCCAGTGTCGACATCTTATGAGCATTTTGGAGAGCGGTATACAGCTTGCTAGACTGCGATTCATCATTTCGTTGTTTTGCGTTAGTCCTACAATCGGCATTTCTGGGATGACCAGGAAGTGGGCCCCAGCTTCACGGGTGGTGAAAAGAAATCCTACAACACCGTTCTGAATGTCTTGGAATTTAGCTTGGGACTGTTTGAGAATTTGAAATGCCAGTGCACGTTCGAGCCTGCATTGGCACACACTTTCTGTAAGATGTACGGATGAGTTAGAGTAACACATCTTGCGGTTATATGTGCTGAATACCAAACATGATGTGGGCAGTTGCCAACCTGCAGGCTGCCTCCACGAAATTGCACCCAATTTCAGGATATGAAAATATGGAGAGGAATCGCGAGAGAAAAGTTTACCGATTTAAACTCACAGCCTGTGCAATTTCTCAGCTTCGTGCTTCAGTGATGCGCCATGCGTCCAAAGGGGACCCGCTACATAATCCGCAAGTCTTTCTATCAGTGGCTTCCTCCATGAAACAAATGGCCGCTCCTGAAGGCACGAGGGCCAATTCTTGCTGAATCCGGTGTACGTATAGGCGAATGCCGCACCTGAGCAGAAGATCTGCGATGCTTGTGGCCCTGCCCAGCTTCTCAGCTGCAACTGCCGTTGTGCATCAGACAGCCCAAGATCGGCTGTTCCCAGACAGTGGCCACGCGAGAAACACGGAAACGTATAGCCCACGTGGCGATTGCTATGGGGCGCTTGACAGGTCCATGCTTTTCTGCGCAATGCCAATGCATCGAGATCTGGCGTTGCTGGTGGCATTAAATAATTAATGATTAGGGATAGGTGGGTGGGTGCTTAGATGCCCCGTGCACCCTGAACAGCACCGGATGCCATGTCTGCTTCTGGCGGCATTACTATCCGCCATTTTGAGCCCGGGGTCCACAGGCTGTGTCGATTAGAAGAAAAAAGGACCAAATAATACTTTTGCTAACACACATGAAACACATTTCATCAAAGTTCTGCGGGCTAAGAACACAAAAATAACACAAAACCGTAAACTTTGTACACGCTTGAACACGTGTTATTTGGCCTCTTTTTTCCTAGTAGTCTGAACGCGGCTAAGGAGTGCGCGCTCTGGACTTGAATTCAAAGGGGGACCTAGACTGCGTTTGGTGGGCGCATTGCGGGGCATTTGCTTGACAGCGGCAGCCCTCCATACATATGCAGCGCCCCAAACCGCCAAGAAAAAATTCGCATCCACTTGCCCAGACCTTGCAGCGTGAATTCGATTCTGGTGATTAAACGAAGCTTACATATACTATATTGGAATACAGACACAGTGGCTGGGTATGAATCGCGAAGCCAGAAACCAACTGATTTGAAATTGTTGGGCACTGTGGGGAAGAAACCTTGAAGGTAATGCTTTAAATAATCAAGTGGATATTTTAAGAGGAATGCATGTTGAATTGATCTCGGGTGACATTGGATCAATGTTGCGCGGCTCTGGAGTGATTTTGCGCCATGGGGCAAGCTGGAGATGAGAAGGTCATCCTAAAAAGATGTCCTCTAGGCGTCCCTGGCGGCTGGAATCCTGATGACGAGGTTGCGCCAAAGACTTGGATGAGGGAGGCAAGGCAGGGGGGTTGTTGGGCTCGCCAAATGGTGGCCGACCTCGACTCCAAACTGACGGCTGCGACTCAGTCGAAAAGCTTCAGGCGCAAGTTACGTGTCTCTCACTGTTGATCTGAGTGACGCCGTTCCGATCGCACATCCTCCCAATGCAGGATAACATCTGACGTGTCCTATACGCATTTATAAGTTGCGGAAACATCGTACAGCAACGGATAGTAAACCCTCGCAGATTCTGGCACCTAGAGGGTGATACCATCGGAGAGCTCCAAAGGCCGCAATGACCCAGCGTCGACATTTGATAGGGAGCGATTCATTGTTGCCCTGACGATGGGTCCTCGCCTGCTCAGAGATCCACTGGTATCCTGCCCCGGGTGCTGGCTGGTTTCAACGATCGCACTTATCGCCATCAGTACATTTGACACAGTTTACGAATAAACACGCGGAATCACAACGCTGTGATTTCATATCGGTGTTAGCACTTGTCTGGAACACCACACCTGTGTACCAACACATTTGTCATTTCCACCAAGCTGGCAAACGGGAAACAGCTAGACGGCGCAGTGTTGAAGCCCCTCGGGAATCGCCAAGATCATAATGCCGAAGAAAGATGGTCGCGAGCCTCACGTGAGGCTTGCCATAGTGAGTAATGGAGATCCCTGTCTCCCGTAGTTAGGTCTGCGTTGGCGTGGGCACAGCTTCTCAGTGACAGGCGCACGTTGCCAACGGCCACTGCGCTGCATCGTAACCATGTCAATCAGCATGACGAGTGTACAGCGGAAAATGTGCCTTAGTCATACGAAGCGACCCCAGAGCCACGCCGGTGCCTCAAAGATTCCGTATGCTGCACGTGATTGTAATGTGTAGTTTGCATGCGAGTCTTGGAGAGCCGGGCTGGAGGCTAGCCCCAGCACTGTCAAGGATGATGTCCGGCCTTCCTTGGCTCAAGGGCTCAGCGCACAAGTAAGTCGCCCCGTTCTGTGGGGAGCTTTCGCAGGCGCCGCGCAAAGACGCGCCAGGGCGGAAGCCAATCAGGGCGGCGCCGCCGCGGTGGCCGGAGAGCTGAGAGCTTTCACTGCTTGAGCACCAGCGCAGGGGCTGGCCTGAGACTCCGAGAAAGATGGGAAAATTTTCGATCTTCGCGCGGCGGCGGTGGCCATCCTCATGGCTCTGGGGGCACCGCGCGCGAACTGCAGCAAAGTGAGACGGAAGCCGTGGGCGAGCGCGCCGTCCGAGGGGCGACAGCGCTGAGAGGCGCGTTTCTTGCCCAGGACTTGGAGGCCGCCTGGCCCTGCATTTGCGCTGCTCGACGGACATCAAACCTTGGTATCGATTCAGGTCATCCGGTCGGTGGCATCGATGGCAGCTGCGAGGCTTTCGAACCAAGTTTGAGGGAAGCTGGGCAGGCAGTGTTGCTAGAACGCGTCGCCGCGTTCTGTCAATCTTTGGCGTCCGCAGTCGGACATTGCATGGGTCCGGTGGCCTTGCAGCCGCGCTTGCGCGTCGAGGTGGTCTTGCCTGTTCTGAAGACGCACTCAGGGCCCCAGTACTTTGCCATCTTCGAAGTGTGTCCAACGGCAGTGCCGTTTCGTCAACCAATCATCAACCAATGCGACATTTTGGTCTGTCCGGCAAGCTCCCTGCTTGCTTGCGCTGCTGCGGGTGCAATGCCAAGTTCTAAGAGAAAAGTGGGTGGCTCAGATGTGGAGGCGAACGACTAATGCGCAGTATGTGAGCCCTGGCTTTGAGGTTTGAATTGTTGGTTGTTGCCTCCACAGCCTGCACACTTGATTTGGCACAGGTTGTGTGCGGTGGCAGCGCCCTTGCCGTTCGCGCCTTGGCGCTCAAGGCCGGAGTGGGATTCTGCCTGTCAATCGGGTGAACAATCATGTAGGATCTGACTAGTCGCATCGACAGCTGGGAGAACAACAACGTGCGCACAATATTAGGTGTTAATCAGTGGATGGTACGTTTGTCACCTGAGTAATCGAGGCCACCCATCAATAGATTACGAGTCTGCGCCACTACAGAAAGCTGATTTAATTGAATCTTGCCACCACAGGAATGCGGTTGTGTTGACTTAATTTTCTCCTGCTTTTGAAGCAAGAACCCCCAGATAATGTGAACTTCAATACCTATTTTACGTGCCATCCGTGGAATCTTCGAGTTGTCTGTAATGGTGGATGGCTAGGTACGTGAATTTCTGTTGCTCACGTTGATTGTGCTACCTCTGTTGGGGATTGAATTTCGATTTTGAATGAGCCAATCTTCAACATGAATGCCACGCCAAATGTCAAACAGTGCATATTCGGAAATGCCAGACTCAGGAAGCCTACAAACCACCTTTTCCGCCGTCTGATTTCCTCATCCAATCCATAATGTGCGGCTGCAAATGCTGCGACCCTTCACAGAAGTCGGCAGTTCACGCGCTCCAC